TGATCAAGATCAATTTGCCCGACTTTTTCGCCCATTTCTTTCCGATCGCGAGCTTTAGTTTATTCGCAAACTTCTTCTTTTTGTTGAGTCTATACTCCGATAGCATACGAATCCGGGCTATCATTATATTGAATATCTCCTCCATATCGGGAGCTACCAGTCCCTTACCGGCGAAGTCGGTCACCTCATTGCAAATAAGCCGTATCTTAGCCTTCATAGTCTTCTCCTTTTTAATCTCCCGGACCACCCGTTCCTTGAAGGAGTCGGGTATCTCACCGGACAGTATAGTCAGCATAAACTCCACCATAAACTCGTCGGTGAGCTCGTCCTCGCAGAACCGGTGGTCGCTGATCACGTCGATGACCACCGCCTTACCGGCCATACCCTTCAGCAGCAGCTTCGAGCACGTGATGGTCGCATCGAAATAGCCGACCACATCGTACTTGCCGTTAGGCTCCAGCTCTTTCAGTAGCTTCACGTAGTAGTTGCTCATGTCTTTGAGCGAGGTCAGTTTGCTCACGTCCCGAGTCCAGTGTAGGCCAATGGCCGGGCGGTTCAGTTTGAGGGCCAACTCCTCGAACAGCGAAAAGTTGAGTATAACTGTCGGTAGGAAATACACGGGCCGTCCCTGAGTCACGTTATTCAGGCGCACGTGGACCTCGTTGGGTATAATAAACTTTTGTTTCAACAAGTACGTCCTAGCTCGCTTAATGTCCTCGACGTGCTTTTTGAGTTCACCCACATTGCCGGCCTCGTAGTCCTTCAGCATACCCACCGTAATGGACTTGACCTGATTGATAGACACCTTCATATTCCACTCCCTCTCCAGTTCCTGTTGCAGCTCAACGGCGAACATGGACTCCAACCCAATCTCACCCAGGGTTAGGTGGTTGGGTGTGGTCTCGGGGTCGATGCCCAAAGCACGCCATAGTTCGGCTACCATTCGCTTTTTACGACTACCGCCCTCCTTGACCTGGTCCACTTTAATCTAGGCACATTATGATGTTAATTAAAATGGTATTTATCTTAAAACTATAATCATTTATCGTTGGCTTACATGTGAGGTGACGACAGGTTTAGTACTTTGTAAGAGTTTGTCCAAAACATCGCAACACGAGTTGATTCGCTGTTTTCTTATCGATGTCATTGACAGCAACTGATCCGTCTCTGCAAACACTCCCACATCACCGATGGGTCCGTACTGTATGGCCAGTCCGTGTAAGCCATCCCTCCGGCGTTGTTCACAAATACGCTCACACATGGAGTTACCGAACGAGTAGTTAGACTGACCTCCATTTCCCTTACCACAAGTGATCGATGAAAATACCACAAAATAGTCTAAATTATAGCTTAATTTTCGGGTCAATTGATCCAAATTCGTGAATATCTTATGTTTGGTATCAATAGACGAACAAAACTTATCAAACGTTAATGTAGTCCAATTTTCGGGTCAATTGATCCAAATTCGTGAATATCTTATGTTTGGTATCAATAGACGAACAAAACTTATCAAACGTTAACTTCTCTATCAAACAGTCATTCAATTCAAACGCCAAATGAAATACCCCTCCAATGGGTCCCAACTCTTGAGCCTCTTTTATGAGTTGTTGTGTGCCTTCAATAGTAAACCCATTGGCAGTCGAGACAACATAATCGCACTTAAAATACTTGAAGTCTTCGTAAAATGATTTAGCCCGGTTATACACCCATTTCTGATAATCTGTTTTAACCCCAGACCTGGAGGTCACCACAAACTTCCTTGCACCATAATACAACATCCATGGCATCAGTTCCATACCAAAGCCACCCAAACCACCGGTTATTATATAGACTTTGTTTGGATCGAAAAATGTCTTAACAGTTGTCGTGATATTAGGCGCCGACTTAATCATCTTAAGAGGTTTTCTGGTATTTTCTTCGTCTCTCATTTTGATGATCACTTTCCCCATGTGTTTGCCGGTTGTCATATACCGGAAAGCCTTATCGTATTCACTGGCATTAAACGTGGTGTAAGTAATGGGTTTAACGCATCCATTCTTCGAGTTCTTGTGAACCCAGTCGTAGAACTCGGCGAAGAAGTCCATGTCATCCATAATGACGATATCGATGACAATACCGATGAACAGTATATTCCTCACGAAGTCAAACATTCCCAGCTTTTTGTTCTGAAGCATGTCGTACCGTCCGATCTCCACAAACCTCCCACTGTTTGCCACGCATTCATAACTAGCATCCAGTTTCTCACCGGCCAAGGAGTTCAGCACAATGTCTACTCCGCGCCCTTTTGTCGCCTCTTTGATCTGATTCTTGAAGAGTATATCTCTTGAGTTGAATATCCGGTTCTCCGGTATGTTATACTCCTTCATAAGGAACTGCTTTTTATCGTCCGTTCCGACCGTCACATAGATATCGCTCCCGTAGTGTTGACACATGTTTATACACGACTGTCCCACACCTCCCGCCGCCGAATGTATTAATATACTCTCACCTAATAATGAAAAGCAAATAATTTATAAATAAACTACTCGTTTGTTGCTTTTATTTCAATAATGACCTTGCTTCAAATTAGCCCTTTTGATGAGCGCGTAATACAGTGTACAATAAGTGCTGAGTATAGTCGCCGCTTCAGTCATAGACCAGTGCTCGGGAACTGTAGTCATGCTATGAATGTTAGCGTTCAGTGATGTGGCAAACGTACGGCCCATGTCTATGCCCATCACCCGCTCCCCGGTATCAGCCCTTCGGCCCACGTATTCACAACCAAGTGTGCAATCAGTGATAAGTTGTTCAGGGCCAGATGGGATACGACCTGATTGTAATATACAGTTATAAATAAGACCATTTAAATGGTTAAAGTTTAATGTTTAATTAAGTTTAATTACCCGTTGCGAGCATAACGTCGTGAAATGAAATACCGGCACAATATATCTCAACCCGTGTTTTTTGAATCACTTTATTATTCACGTCATATATCTCTTTAATCTGAGGGATATTTCTCGAGTCAAACCACTGAATGCCTCCCAAATCACCCATTTTTCCTGAATTTAGATAATAGTCATTGGATTCACATTTGTCGTAATCCGTGGGAAGTCTTAAGTGTCGATAAGTTCCCACTTTTCCATCTCTTATCACATTCGCCACCAAATCATTGGCCAGTATTTCCTTATAAGGGCTGACATTAAAGTCTATTTTCTCACTATTG